AAGATCAAAATATATAAATACTTTTAATCCCTAAAAGTATGCAGTTCAATTAACAACTAAATTGGGATTACAACATATTTTTCAAATCATTGACCTAATTACCTAAATAAATTGTCTTTCAGTAAAATCCTCTGCCCGATAATAATAAGACAGCATCATCAAGTGGCAGTGGCAAAATGCTGTGAAAATTCGATTCAATGTCAACCTAAAGAGCTACAGACGATTACCAGTAAAAATCCTATTTAGGGTATCTAATGTAGGAGACTCCTAATATTGCCAGTATGAGGAGGATAGTTGTATTCAGTCTTATCACTCCATGCAGAGAAACCCTTTCAACTATCAAATTCTAGATACGAACCGAAACAAAAAAGAAATTAGTTTCTAAGAAAATACAAGTTCCTCATTCCTAGAGCACAAATATTAAAAGTTCTACAGGACCAACATTCCAACATTCAACTTCATAAATCCAATTTATTGCTAAAAGCAGGCTGACCAAAGCAACCGTAGACTGGGGGAGTGCTGAAATTTTGAGAAAACATTATTAAGATACAAAAGGCATTGTTCACTGAAACAATTGGAAAACAGATCATGTGGCGCTTCTTTCCTGTTGCCAATTCCCAAGCTTGTAAAACGTGGTTTACTATTTCCTCAAACGCCGACTCCATGCTTAACCTGCATGCATGTAATTTCCATTTATCAATCACAGGGAAACCCATAGAAGGGGTTTTTCGGTGAGCAATGTTAATGGTCATTTCTCTCTAATTTCAATTCAATAAATCAAGTAGGTACATTTACCATTATAGTTGTATTTTTCCCCTTCATTGTATTACAGCCATTTAAGAACAAACAGCATAGGATCAAATTATTGAATGTGGGTGTCAGAAATTTTCACTCCATCGGGATACTAGAGATTTTTGTACGCATGCTTAATAGGTACACATGCCTCAGAAATAATGGAGGAGCTACTTTGTTACCATACTAGTAAAATTTAGGTGTACTATTTTGCCTGCAGAATGATACACTTTGCTTCGGCACCCTATGATTCTGGATAATATACAGCTTTTCGGTCGTTCACATAATAAATTTCATTAGACCAGTAATAGAAGCATCATTTCAAATAGGTATCCATACTATGCATGTATCACACTAATGCTACAGAATATGGAGAAACGGCATATTCCACAAACCTGAGCAAAAACAAAAGGACCACCATCCCGCATCCGAAGTGCATCACGCTCCATGACTGCCAAATCAGCTCCAACAGCCAGTGCAAGGTCAGTCTTGTTTATTACCTAGAATTAAGTGCAATCTCAATAACATTATACCTTTCAACAATTTCTTTTGAGAAAACATCAATGGATTAAATGGTGTTTAAAGCCCCAAACATCAGGTAACAGATGAATAAAACACATACAAGAAGGTCAGCTTGTGTGATCCCTGGGCCTCCTTTTCGAGGGATCTTATCACCAGCGGATACATCTATAATATAAATTATATAGTCAGCCAATTCCCTGCTGAAATTGGCAGCTAGATTGTCTGCATCCACATAAATTAAGCGTATTAAAACATGTTTCAATCAACACCTAAATCCATTATATACGAAAATAAATAAAGTTTTGTCTCATCTAATGATTTCAAGGTCAATTCTATCCATGGGTAGTTATAAATTACAAATAATTCCTGAATTGTTTCAGCACAACTTACAAATCAACAAGAAATGCAAAGTTATTGCCACAACTTTTGATCACCATGAGCTTTCAATTTCCTTATAATAACTTTTCACCTAATGCTCAAAGTCACATAAATCCAGAAGCACAGAACCTGATTAAATGAAGCTTATCTATTATTTTAAATTTCATGGTGATCACTAACATAATAATATTTACAGCTAAGCAAAGTACACTGTGGTGCCAAATTACCTCCCCCAGATTCACAGAGAAGTATATCAGCTTTGTACAAGTTTGAAAGCTCCTCAAGAGGCCCAAGATTGATGCTGATGTCTTCTCGAATAGCAGCATGTGGACAGCCTCCCGTTTCCACAGCACGTATCCTTTCCTCAGGAAGTGCTCCATGCTTCACCAAGAACTCGCCATCCTCTTTTGTGAATATATCATTAGTCACCTACAATGTCATCTATCTTAAGTTATTTTTCGCTAAAAATCTCCATACAAAAAATCTAGACATGAGAGATATTAGAGGAATACACTTGCACCAAGATGTACAACAAAAAAATCAAGGTCTAAGCTTAAGTATAAAGAAACTGTTGTCAATAATAAAAAATAGGGCAAACATCACTTTATCCCTTTATGGTTAAGTGGTTAAGTCATTTTGTAGATCACCTCCCTCATATTTAAAAATAGTCACATAACTCTCGTATGGTTTGTGGACTAAAACACAATGCTAATACCGTTGACGGAAATGTTGAAATCACCTTTGAGCCATTCCTTCCTCTCTTTCTTCAACATCAAACCCTTCTTCTACGGCGGCACAAAAACATCTCAATTCACCAAATTTTGAATTTTCAATTTCCAAAGCTTCAAAATTAAAATGAAAAAAAAAATGAGAACCAAAATTATATTCAGTGGATTGCAATACCAACAAATTATTGTTCGACAATTGTTGGTGGGTCGCCGATGGTGATGAACTATTGCTCAACGAAGATGAGAATTGCAGGTGGTCACCATTGCAAAGTAAAGGAATGACACTGATTTGGACAGGTAGAAAACTCAGGTATGCTGGGGTTGACTTGGATGTGGGTGGTGGTTGATCTACTTAGATTCGCCGCCGACAACCCCTATGACGTTCTCTCTCACTCTCTTCCCCCCCCCCCTCTTCTCTCTCACCAATTAGTTGTTGTGTAATGGTGGTTCAACAACAATAGATTCAAGAGGGTTTAATTGATTAAAGATACAGGGAGAAGGTGGAATAACTTTAGGTGGGTTGGTGTCTATGACAATTTGGACCACATTCCCTCTGTCGAGACCAACAATAACGTAAAGAAGTTTGTGTCGATGGTGAGGAGACAAGCTACTTAATATTTGTGCTTCTTTGATCCACCAATCTATTTTGCCTTCTGTAATGCATGTTGGAGTATTACAGACCTTCCATGGTGATATACAGTAAATGTGGTGTTTATCATTGGTTCAAAGAAGATAATGGTGTTTTAATAATTTCAAAATTTTAAAAGGTTATTTTTGTCTTTGAATTTTTTTTGATACAGATCAACATTTGGATATTGCACATCGTACATACCTCCAATTAAGTTGGACATAATCTTTGGCGGTGCACTTTAGTCCATAAATCACATGAGGGTTATGTAGACATTTTTAAATGTTAGGGAGGTTATGTGCATTCGAGGTACACCACAAGGGGTAAAGTGAAGTTTTCCTAAAGGTAAGAACCATATTCATTAGAGACAAGGAGTGTCGGACATGTACCTTTTAAAATGCAAGGGGACTTGTGTTGAGAGATATCTGGTATAGAAAATTCCCAAGTGGATGGTAAAATTCCAAGAAAAATGAACCCGTAATTCGAGTTGCAAGATCCATTAAACATTGCACCAAGTTCGTTATATTTTGAGAAGTTAAAAAGGTCAAAAAGGAGCTCATTGACCACCCACCATGATATTGTCAATTTGAGATTTTCCTTAGTATGGTACTTTAATTAGGGCCTTAGGTAAATGCCTACTATTATTCAGAAAGAGCATGCGATTATCTCATTGTAGCAAAGAACACCAACTTATTTTCCTCACTTTTCTTCTGCACGCACCTAGGAAAGCGAAGCTGACATCCTTACCATGTCACATGACCCTATGTTTGTTGTTATAAATTCAATGTCAAACAAAGGACTTCGCTAATGTTCTATACAAGGATCTAAATCTCGTGTCGACACGTTCGAAACGTTTCGGAATTTCAACACTCCGACACAAAACAGTGGTTGAATCCCTAAACTCCAGTGTTTTGGTCCGTTTCAATCGAAATAGTGAAAAGATTTGTTCACTCCAGACCAAAAGACAAAAAAGAGGGGCTCAGAAAAGCAGATTCCACAAGTCAGAATTCACAACTCCAAGCCAAAAAAAAAAGGGAAAAAACAGACATCTCAGATCACAAGTCACCTCCTTCACTCCTGATTTTAGCAGATCCAGGTATTTCAAGTAAGGAAAAAAAAACAGAGAGTAGAAGGAGAGAAAGACACCATACAAAGAGAAATATAGACCAGAATTGAAGAAGTTATTGTAACTTATCTCCTTCACTCCAGATTTGAGTAGATCCAACCATTATCCAAGCAGATCTAGGGTTTGGGAGTTGTCTTTGTCTTCATCGCTGCGGCCAAGAGCTTCTACTGGTCCACGGGTATGTTTTTCTCTTCTTCTTCTTCTTCTCCCTCTCTCTCTCTCTCTCCCGGCATCGCCCAGATTGCCTATGCCTCTTGCCTCTCTATCTGTCTGTTCATTCGTGTGGTTCAACTATGCAGGTTATATATATATATATATATATATATATATATATATATGAATAATTATATTTAATACCACTGTAATTATATTTAATACTTATTGTAATTACATTTAATAACCACTATAATTATATTTAATACCCCATTGCAATTATATTTAATACCCTCTGCAATTACATTTAATTTTTAAATATACATAAGTACCATTAATTTAATTTAATAACCTGCATTATTAGTATTATAATAAAATAGTATTATTTATTGGATAATATTTTAATTTAAAAGTGTTATACATGTCATATTTAATTTGTTGAATGAATATAATGTGTTTGACAATATAATGACATTTATTGTAGATATGACATCAAAGGGGAAGAATGTGGTTACTGAATCATCCCAGAAAAAGAAAAAGAACGTGATATTGGATGAAATTACGGCGAACGAATTGAGGAGGATAATCGACAACATGTGACGTGTAATTTTTGCCATAAAAAAACGATGGATGACGGTGTGTCACGGTTAAAGCAACACTTGACAGGCGGTTATAATAATGTGGAACAATGTGATAAGTGTCATATTGATTGTGAGAGCTACGAGGGATTACTTGAATCGCATCAAGACTGAAAATGCATAAGTGACTGATGAAAGGAGAAAAATGAGACAGAATTTAATTGTTGGATCAAGGCGGAGGAGTGGTATCGAAATTTTGTTCTTCCGATGAGAATTCAGATAATGTTATGGATATAGAATATAGAACTAATATTGAGTATGCAAAACAACAATCTATTTGTGATATATATGGCCAAGCAGGGCATTAGAGGAGGAAGTTCTAGACCATCTATCCAAAAAATTATTACATCTAGGAGTTTGATGCAATCACATAGTGTGAATGAATCTTGGGATAAATTCTCAAAAAAATTACAAAAGTTGATGGACAAAGAAAAAGAACCCACGATAGAAGAGATGAATCCTTCAATGTATTGGAATAGGGAAGTGAAGCAAATAAAACTAACTCATAAGTGGAATCCCAAAAAGTGGGCAAAGTCGGTAAAACATGCTATTGTAAAGTATTTCATTTATGAGAATATTCCGCCAAGCAAAGCTCAAGGTCATTTTTATCAATTGATGATTGATGAAATTGCTTTAGCTGGAATGGGTGTGAAAGAGCCAACCCCATATGAGATTGGCGGGCCATTACTAGATAATGAGATAGTTGAGCTTAAAGAGTACATTGACCAGTTCAAAAAGAAATGGGAGATTTATGGAGTAACAATCATGTGTGATAGATAGACATCCACCACATGATTATCTATCATTAATTTCTTGATATATTGTGATAAAAAAGTTGTCTTCCACAAGTCAATTGATAATTTTGGCCATGACAAGGATGCTAATTATATTTTGGGGTTGATGGATGCTATTGTTGAGGAGATTGGAGAGAAATATGTGGTTCAGATTATTAAAGACAATGGCAATGCATACATAAAAACTGGTGAAAGTTGATGGAAAAAAGACCACACTTATATTGGACTCCTTGTGCTGCCCACTCTCTGGATTTGATTTTATATGATTTTTTGAAGATTGAAACGATTTAAAATGTGATAGAACAAGCTAAAAGAGTGACCAATTTTATCTATAATCATAATAGAGTCTTCGATATAATAAGAACATTTTATTCGGGAGAATTGATTCGGCCAGGGCAAACAAGATTTGTCACTAATTATATTGCCCTATAAAGTATTTTGGAACAGAGAAATGACTTGCAAAGGATTTTTACTTCAGAAGATTGGTCTAGGACTGCGGCAGCAAAGGATCCAATTGGAAATCGAGTTCAAGGGACGATTCTAAATCCTAAGTTTTGGAAGAACGCCAAAAATGTGTGGAATATACATACACCTATTGCAAAAATTTTAAGAATGGTCGATGAGGAAAGAAAAACAACAATGTCATATGTATATGAAGCAATTAAACGAGCAAGACAAGCTGTCAAAGACGTGACTCCTAAATCGTGCAAAAAATATCTTGACATCATTGATGCTCGATGAAAAAAATAAATCTTTCAACATATTCGTATAGCAGGTAAACTTATTATTTACCAATTTATATTTTTATTATTGATAAGTGTTATCATTTTAGATGTTAACATTTACAAGTGTCATCATTATTTATATTGTGTAGTTTATTACTTGAACCCCACATACCATTATAAAGAAGATGTTGGTGTGTTAGAAAGTTTTTTGAGTTCGCTTCGAATCGTTGTGTCTAGATTCATAATTGTCAAATCGCGATTCGTATCGTGAATCAGAATTCTAAATTTGAGAATCGTGAATCGTAAAATTCGACATAAAATTTGAACAAAAATAAAAAAATAATACTACATATTTAAAATAGACAAAATATTGAATATTGAATATTATTACATTCTAAAAATAATCAACTGACATAATCACGTCATTTAAATGGAAAGACGCTAGCCTTTTGCTTTATTTTCATCTTTTGTTAAACCATTTTCAAATATAACAACTTGAAAAAAAAATTCATTAAAGAACTATGGCTATTGAAGAACCAAAATAGTGACACTCAAAATATAGACTAGGTTACAAACATGAATGCAAAAAAAAAATAAGAAAATTGATTGGGAGAAAATATACAAACCAACATTTTGAAACAAAAAACTAAAACCTAACAAACTAAATATTAAAGAATTGAGAGCACAAATCAACCGATGATGCGAGAACATTAGCTGTGACCTTTAGTTTTAAACAACGCAATGCGAGCTTTAGACGATGATAGAGAGAGAACGAACAAATAGGTTGAGTTTTTATTAGAGCGTGGATTCCTCCGCAAACAAAACGACGTCATTTTACTATTTAGCTAACAAAACGACATCGTTTTGTCAAAAATTTGAATTTAAAAAAAAAATGATTGAATTGAATCGTACGATTCAACTCTTAAACGATTCTAATATAAAATACAAATCGTTTTGTACCTATATCGAACCGAATCGTATGAATTGAATTGCAAATCGTACGATTTTGATAACTATGTCTAGATTAGAAACAAATCTAAACAAGGCTACTGAAGCACTTGCAGAGGTAATACTTTAGTATTTTAATCTCAATTTACATATGTGCTAAATTAATATTTAATATTTAACATCAACATATCCATGATATTTAGGTAAAAATATTTCGGGAGGCCATGTATTGTTTTGCTGACCAAGCTGCAATTAGAGGAAGAACAAAAAGTGATTTAGATAATTAAGTAGATTATTTACATAATTATATTTTGTTCTCATGATTTTCTATTTATATTTTTCTTTAAAGTTTTAATATGTTTCTTATTATTATGCAACTGAATGGTGGTTTATGTATAATACTGATTCTCCAAATTTGAGAAAGATTACTATGAGAATATTGTCGCAAACAGCCTTATCTAGTGGTTGTGAGAGAAACTGGAGCGCATTTGCTCTCATTCATACTAAAGTGTGGAATCGACTCAATTATCAAAAGTTAGAAAGACTGGTATTTGCACAATATAACATGAGGTTAAAGTTAAAGCACCTTATAAAAGACAAAAAGGGTATGAATTCAAACTTATAGACTTGACCACTGTTTTTAAGGAAGATGAAGGTATTTCAAAATGGTTAGATGATCCTGGTGATGCACTTTTAGATGAACTTGATGATGATGGGCAACCAACAAGACCAAACACTTTCCTGACAACATGGGCAAATCGTTTTTCCAATGACGATGGAGGAGTAGGCCTAAGTCAAGTTGTTGTGCCACCACGAAAATCAAAATTCAAAATAGGTAGAGAAGGATCAAGTAAAACAATGGATAATGATAAGTTTGACAGACTAATGAGAGGTCCACCAAGACGTAAGCAACTTATCACTGTCACTAGTAGGACTGAGAATGATCATAATGGTGATGGTAGCAATGATGATGGTGGTGAAGATGATGATTAAGATAGTGATGGTGGTGGTGGAGATGGTAATAGCAGAGGTGGTGATAGCCATGGACATGGAGGTGGTGGTGATAGAGGTACTGAGAGCCAAAATCCACATGGAATTGTATTCCCTGTAGAGGAAGGATTTACACATGCTACACAAGATGACGATCATGGCTCTCGACGAATGCTTCAATATGAACGATGCTCAAAATCAACTCGAGATCGTCAACGTGAACGTACTCAAAATCCGATCACTCCACATGGTATGAGTGCTGTTAGGCATGGAACTGATATGATTAATGATGATTTTTCTACTATGAGTATAAGTGGAAGTGGAAGTGGAAGTGGAAGTGGACACCATAATTATGGTTCGTCATCTTCATATGGTTATGGTTCTGGGCATGACATTCCCTCATATGATTATGGATCGGGGTATGACACATGAGGATACGAATATGGATCTTCAACATATAGTTATTCTATGACTCCCAGACATCCTCCTCATATAGACAAGATGAAGGTTGGCTAGGGACTAGTGCATTCGTTCTCCAACAGATTGGATGTAGTGTTACAGACTATCAGAGATTTGGGAGAAAGTATAATTCATATTATCGTAATAATATGAGTTGGAGTAGCTATTGTCATCATATTTATGTCACATATGGAGTTTCTCTAAGTAGCTACCCAGAACCTACACCGATGTATGAGCCTGCTCGACATTCCACAGGAGGATGGATGTAGTCATGTAAGTATGTATTCATTAGCATTTCATGTGTATTATGAGACCTTAATATTATGTAAAAATGTGTTTATTTAATAAAAATTAAGTGTTTGAAACTAATTTAAGTGATTTTCGCCTCATGTCAAGCCTTTTTTTCCCTCCAATTTAAATTTATTTGTGTATAAATGGATATTAACCTAATAAATATGTTGCATTAATCAATTATTTAGCTTATCTTTATAAATTAATGGATTGTATTTGTGTTTCCATATTTTTTATGCGTTTCTGTAACGTTTCCGTTTTTGAGCTGACCGAAATGATACTTCGAAATGAAATTTCGATCCTTGATTCTATATGGGTCTGGATGGTCATGCCAATAAACATTTTAACACAGTGATACAACATGAATGGGAAAAAGCTTGAATATTTCTAAGACCCGTTGAATAACTATTGCCAATGATATGCTGAGTTTTCCTAAGTGCATTGAGTAAACCTCTAAGTTATCAAAGGCATGCATATTTGGTGCAACAAAAGTACATTTTATCTTAACACATGATAAAATAGCATAGATGGACAATGCACCTTGGTGAGGCCTCCATGCTGCTAGCTATTTTCCAAAATTTACTTTTGAATATCTAATAATAAGTTCTAAAAAATATGACATTTATAATTGCATAAAATGAAGAGTGTGTATCTTAGGCAATTACAAACAAAATACCAACGAAAAACCATTTTTTAGGTAGAGGTCAAAGGATTCTTTCTAAATAACTGCACTTGCACCCGAATGCCACTCTATCACCAAATCCCTATTAGTTGAGAAAATTGGGATCAAGATGCATTATAAGGTTTATATGGAATTGCTCTCAGAACATTCCTAACGTGAGAGGATTTCAAAGTTCAGAGTTTCACAATTAATAAGGCATAAAGAATTTTTATTTTAGATGATGATATCATACTTGCATAAAAAATTCAGGGATATGATTCAAAAGTTGTTTGTTTGCATGAAGTATCATAGATCTTCGTGTTTCCCGAGAAATCAGGTTTTGTAACTTTAGTTTAAATTCAGCAATTTGGCCCTTGCGAAGATGGGAAGCGAGAAACCTTTCACTTAGCCTAGTTCCTACGTAGAGTCTATGGGAAAGCCTAATGACCAGTTTTGGACCTTTTCCCTACACCGGTCTACCAAAACGTGCATTCCAAACCAAGCAAAGCCTATTTGAAAAGGCTTCAAAGCAAAAAAAGAAGAAATGTCAAGAATCAATTCAGTAAAAAAATATTATTCTATGGGCCCTTACCTTCCTCGGAAGTCCCTACTCTTAAGACAGATACAAAGTACAGCGCATAGTGCATACTTTCCAAAGTAATATTGCATACAATTATAGTATCCACCCAAGAAGTGTATGCAAGATTGCATCTTTCACTGTATTTGTTCACAGTGCTTTATCCATCGGCATAAAATGGCGATAATATGCTCTAACATGGAGAGTGGAGTTGCCTATGCCACCCATGTCACAAGGAAAAAAAGAAGATAGTTTACTGGAAATTCAAAAGGGCACTTTCCTTCCTTGGAAAACTGATTATAAACACGAGCACATGTATGACCACTCAAATGGTAGCATGTGATTTATCTGTAGTGTTAGGCTGTTAATAACTATTTGTCGTAATCCAAAAATTGGTTGTAAGGCGACTAGAGTTTTTAATACTCCAGTTACAAAGGTCTTCAACATATTAGGACTGGCATTAGACGTAAGGTGTTTGTATGTAGTAAAGTTGGCTAACCTTCTTTCTGCTCCGATCAACATTTACACGAAAACTCGGAGAGCCAGTATATTTAATAGAATTCCAAAAATATATATATCATTTCATATGTAAACATCAAAAAGGGTCATTGCTTAGTCATTGTAAAATGTTTAGTCTATTCAACTGCAAGGCTGTGGAGTTGAATTTGAAGACTTTGCTAAACTGTTCAGTTACATTATATTCCTACCTCTGGATATCCTTGAGAAAAGCATAAGCATAAGTTTTTTCCTTCCCTTTTTTCCTTTTCTTTATCTCTATCTATTTTCAGGTCGTCTTGCTTAAAGCATCTGTCAGAGCGAGTCATTTTTGCAATCTCAGTACAATCTTCCCTTTATCTCTTCTTTGTATCTGTTTTATTAATTCCAAGGTACTCTATCAAGATTGTAGATGGGAGGTTAGTCCCAAGAAAATGGACTTTCCCCTGAAGCAACTTGCTACTGTATGATTAGCTCAAGCTATAACAAATAAGAAAAAATGAGATCTAACCAGCTGGCTGTTGAAGCTAAGATGACTGCTATCAACGAGCAGAGGAGAGAGCAAGCGCTGCTCACGTTACTGTGCAAGTTTACAATTTGAAAATAACTCAAGAAATTGCTCAAACAATGTCTAAGATATGGGATAGACATAAATATCAGTTCAATTAGTAAGCTCCCAATTACTACTTTAACACAATAACTCCATGTCCTCCAATTCATTAATGCATTCAAAATGATTCTGGCATACAATACATGCAGTAACAAAGTCAAAAGATACTCCGTAGATCATACATACCGCAGCAAGACTGTACTTGTCTCGCAAGAATTTACACAAAGCCAGCATTAAAGCTGTTTTCCTGTGTGGTAAGAAGCAACATTTCATTAATTTGGCAGAAGTCTATTGCAATCAAGAAATATAAACTTCTAAAGTAAGATGAAAATAAAAAGGCGACAGAATATGTCAGCAGTAGTAATAGTAGTACAGCATGATGGAATTAATATTGTTTGAGCACAAATTTCTTGATTTATCAAATGAGCTAAGATTAATAGGCCAAAAACTACATATATATCAAAGAACCAGAAATAATAAATAGAACCCTATAACCAGCTGCACTAACTAAAAGGCATTCAAGATAACTAACAAACAAAGATATGATTTAGAATATCCAATAAAAGTAAAATTGAAAAAACCCAAAAGCACTCGCACAACATATAAAGATATATCACATGATATAATTGCAACAACAAAATAAAGTAAAAATTGAGAGAAAATAGGAAATACCCAGTACCAACAGGGCCCCCAATACCAATTGTGAAAGCTCTTTCGTTGAAATTCCTGGTGATAAGTGGAGGTGCTCTTCTGCTAAAGTAGCCAGGTGAGTATATGGGTTCATGTGAATGTGGTGCCAGTCCATCATGGCTATGGTACACTCTTCCATCTGGGCCCACCCACGATTCCGCTGTTGAATCTCCTTTAGATTCACTGTTGCATTAGAATCATCCAATGAGAAAACCTATGAGATTTAGTTCTAAAAAAGAGAAAAAAAATTGATTTAAATGAAAAGAACAAGGAATATCACTCATGGCCTTGGGGATGATGATGATGTTGGTGGTGCTCGTAATCATGGTCATGATGGTGCTCATGGACATGAGGATCTTGCGTAGCCATGGACTCTAGTCTATAAGAAACATTTGACAAAGAAGTTGTCAAAGAAATTGTCCACCAAATTAACCTGGAAAATCTTCACAAAAACTTTATTGAAAATAGGGTAAGAAACATTTTTAGTCCCCAAATATGCGCGTTGTATTTATTTAATCCTCAATCTTTCAACTGTGTCAATTTGTTCCCTAGATTCCTAATTTGTATTTATGTCGTTCTTTTTTTTTTTTGGAGGGGGAGGGGGAGGGGGAGGGATAGGGGTAGGGGCTTGAACCCTTGACCTCAAGAAGGTAAAGTTTTCACATGGCAAGAAGTTCCATTGGACTAAAGACCCATTGGTTATATCCATGTGTTCAATCTCAAACATCCATCTAAAAATCGTTAAGTCCTCACACCACGTACCAATCATATGTGAACAAAGAAACATAAAATTAGAAACCACGTGATTAGCGCGTGACTAGAACCGTCACGATTTTTTAACGGACATTTGGTATTAGATCACGTGGATACAAATTATAAACCTTAGGGACCAAATATATATAAATAAAAAATTTAAGACCAAATAGACATTAAATATGTACGTTGGAGACTAAAAGTATATTTTAACCTTGAAAATATGATAAAGATTCGGTGAGTGAAAATACTATTTGAAATACCAAGATCTTCCTCTTTTTGGTGAATTTTGACCTAGTGCGAGAGTCATTTCTTAATTAAAATTTTTGATTGAGATCATTGCATAGTTTTACAAATAGGGTACTCAAATAGGGTACCACCTCTCATTGTGGTAAGTTTTTATTTTTTGTCCAAAGGGTACTCAAACTGATTTTGACCTAGTGGATGGTCCCACTTGAGATGAGAGAGGGTAAGCTGTCATATATATAAAATTGTGATAGTTAGGATATGTGCATTATTTTTTGTGGATAATACAAAAGAAAGATAAGTCTTTGAGAGTAATTGAGTCTCTGTACTAGATCTTTGATAATTAAAAGGTCTTAGACCAATTTTTTTCACAGTCTTTAAGGATTAGCCACCCTTGTCTCTTTAGGGACATACTCTAACTCAGCTCAAGCCATACACGGTAAGCTAGCCGTTAAACTCTAAAAAATAGTCAACGCAAGCTAGAATACCCTATAACCAAAAAAAATAAAATATACAAAGGAAAGATAATAAAACTCTTGGGATTCTTACAAGACAGAAGAAAAAAATCTCTCATGTTTTATCAACTGTTTTTTTTTTCTTTTTTCTTTATGCAATTTTGACCTAGTGCAAAAGAATAATTTCTAAATTAAAATCTTTGATTGAGATCATTGCATAGTTTTACAAATGTCCCGTGTTATTGTGTTTTTTTCCTAATAAAACTCAAAGTTGCAATTTACCACAAATAGGGTACCACCTCTCATTGTGATAAGTTTTTTTTTTTTGTCCAAAGGGTACTCAAACTAATTTTGACCTAGTGGATGGTCCCACTTGAGATGAGGGAGGGTCAGCTGTCATATATATAAAATTGTGGTAGTTGGGATATGTGCTTTATTTTGTTTGGATAATACAAAGGAAAGATAAGTCTTTGAGAGTAATTGAGTCTTTGTACTGGATATTTGATAATTTAAAGGTCTTAGACCAATTCTTTTTCACAGTCCTTAAGGATTAGTCACCCTTGTCTCTTTAGGGACATGCTCTAACTCAACTCAAGCCATACACGGTAAGCTAGCCGCTAAACTCTAAAAAATAGTCAGCGCAAGCTAGAATACCCTTTAACAAAAAAAAAAATACAAAATACAAAAGAAAGATAATAAAACTCATGGGATTCTTACAAGACGGAAGAAAAAAATCTCTCATGTTTTCACAACTGTTTTTCTTTTTTCTTTATGCAAGTTGTAGATAGTTTTTTTTTCTTCTTGGATAAATTCATTTTTAGAGTAAAAGTCATATCGTATTTAATGATTATGAGTTCAATACATCTTCTTTAGCATAAAGACGTACATCCCTTGTTATCAGACAATCACTTCTTCAGAAACCTCGCGTGGATTTAATAACTTTCATTTTCCATCTTATGAAAAATTACTTTCTTCCCGCTTAGCCATATACCCTCTAGGGGTATTTCAGTGATAAGTGGTCGATCCTACGTGAACACTTGTTATTCCTATAAGTAGTACCTTTACAAGTCCTTCAACAATGCTAAATATAAACATTACATCTAAAGACCACTCAGAGGACACAACATTGATTCATTTTCTTTACTCTTGAAATCATTTTTCATTTATGAAATGGAGTTGAGGAAATAATTTCTTGTGAAGACCCAATGCAAATTAGACTATTTTCAGAACCATTTTTATAGGTATCCATCATTTCTTCACAAACACACAAAAAACACCACGACCAATATCATAGAATTCCTCCACCACCTAAATATTTTCAAGGCATTTCTCTTTGTTTTTCTAAACAACTCCACATTGAAAAATAGTAGCCTATCATAATTGGTATTTTATTAATGTCATATACAATTTTCTTACAAACTTATGAAATATTTTACACAAAACACTTCCTCAAAGGCCTCCGTTTTGGGATTTAATAGCCCTTTTGTGCACCATGTCTGGCTAGAAGATCCATTTAGGTTCATAGTGGGTGATTTGGTGTTAAGTGAACTAAATAAATCTGATATATAACAAATCCTACTCCGCAAAATCCAAACTCTTCGCGCAGGAGAAGGAGAGGACACACCATTTTCATTTCACATTTTGATGCATGCACTTCATTGTGTCGCTCTATATAAAAGTGCATACTCACTTGCATTGAGTGCAAGCATCAAAAGGTGAAAAAAGAATCACATATGGGGTCTAAAAAGAGTTGGGTATACATCTTATCCTGCATGAGGTGCACGAGGAGAAGTTGCTTCTATGAATCAAACTTATAACGCCTGATGGGACACTTCTGAGAATCAACAGCGAGTCGACCCGTGTCCTCGGTGTGAGTAACCCTCGGATTTTACTGAGAACGACACTTGTCCTCAGCACGAAAAACGTGGGAGCCCCATGGATTAACACGTATCCTCAGCGTGAGGTCCCTCGGAGCCCCCTATGAGCGACCTTGTCCTCGGCACGAAAGGCACCTCAGGAGCAGCAGAGAGTGACACGTGTCCTCTGAGTCAACGCACCCCAGAGTCTTCATCACTTGACATCTATCCTTGGCTCCCAAAGTTCCCCGAGAAGACCTCCACCTGAAACATGTCCTCGGCGTCAGGTCCTCCACTCCGCCGAGGTCATGGCGACCACCTTAGGACTTGGGCTATGACAAATGGTTGAGTTATTAGAGAAGTCAAGAATAACATCACCACATCAGAGATAAGGGGGCTGTTAATCATCAAGCCCTTTTCCCAAGGCAGTCAGAATGACAAGATAGGCAACTTGGTGACCAATATACAGAGTCCATGAAGTACAAAGCCTAGATGACATGACCTCCTGGAGGGACACAAGATGCAAATGCCCCAACGCATGCGCAACCACAATGAAGGATACTAAATGATCTCTCAGAAGGATGAGACATATTTATTGCTCGGAGGGTCTCGAAGAAAGAGCATTAAGTACTCGGGAGTCCGAGCATTCAATGCATAAACTTCTTCCATGCAAAATGGGAGGCACTCTACTTAAAGACTGAGCACTACCTGCTGCCTTCCGAATAGGCCAATGAGGGACTTCCTTTCCAAGGAACTCACCTATCTGCAATAATTACCTCCATGGAAGTATAAATAGCTCTCATAAACACAAAACGAGGGTACACACATTCTCACCCAAGCAATAGAACAGTATTTCCTACTCACCCCTCTTCTCCCACATTAACTTGATCGCCAGAGGGGTCACGTTGGAAAACACTCCGACGCCCTTCTTCCCTTTCTTTTTGAGTGGCAGAGTTCATCTCGATACGCTAGGAACGTTCGGACTGCTGAAAAAGTAATTCATCACCACTCCTTATACCATCTCTCAGATCCGTTTGTTACAGGATCATCGATTTTCCGGGTAAAACTCGCATTCACCAAGGAAGAGATATGTTCATTCATTTATTGTGCGAAAATCATCGCACACAATTTGGCGTCGTCTGTGGGAAACGACCGAGTTCTCTTGAAATAGTGACCATGGTCAATACGCATTTGAAAGGAAAAGGTCCTCAGCAAAGGAATATTGACGTATCAACTCCTTCCATATCAAGAACGGAAGATCACGTTGAAAGCATCAACAAAGAGCTTTCGATCCATTCGAGAGAAAGAACCCACCAAACTAAACTAAGTCTTGGGGGCGAAAAAGACGGCCCCCTGGCTCGTCAACTTGTCGATCTCTTTGAAGAGCAGTTGGTGGACCGATTACGGCAGATAAAGAAAAATAACGTGAATGTTCTTAACAGACTCGACGAGTTTGTATTTTCTAGTGGGAGATCTTGAAACTTACGACCATCCAAGGAGGTGGGAGCCGACGACTTAAGAAATTGTCTGAGTGGCGGAGCAGGGGACTCCAAGGCTCCAAAATGCCCGAGGGCTAATGGACAAGACCCGGAGGTCCCATCCAAGAGGGCCAAACTTTTGGCTTGGAATGACCTCCGTCAGAGATTGTTCGGGCGAGGAGGTGCGGAGGAGTCTGAGGAGGGATCAACCCTCTCCGTGAAGAATGGATGAGCCGGGGGGCATGCTTCCCAATGTGGCGATGGTGAGAGGAGGCACCATAATGATGGGAGAGACCTCAGGTCCAAGCTTAATTCTATGAGGAAGGACAAGTCCATCCCTGACGACAACACAGATGACGAAGTCATTTGGTCACCATTCACCAAAAATATCATGGAAATGAAAGTATCGAAGAAGTTTGTGGTGCCACGATTCAAAGTTTACGATGGACTTTTCGACCCGAAGGCTCACCTCCGAAAATACAAGCAAATAATGTCCTCGTATCACTCGAATCATAGACTGTTTTGTCATGTGTTTTCAATGAGCCTAGGCAATATGACCATGAAATGGTTTGAGACCCTTCCGCCAAATAGCATAGGGTTCTGGAGGGAGCTGACTAGCCAATTCTCCGCGTGGTTCATCACAATCACAAGAAACAAGTGCCCCAAGGATGTTGGATCCTTATTGACCCTCAGCCAGTATGTCACTCGTTACTAGGATGAGGTAAATGAAGTAGAAGGGTGCTCCGAGGTCATGGCTACGACTTCTTTCAAACTTAGCCTCTCTTGGGACATAAATCTTTACAAGTCACTGACAAAATGGACACCGCCGTACATGGCGAGTTGATGGCCTAGATCAACAAATACTCCAGGATAGAAGACGAGTTAGTGGAGAGTAAAGGTAAAAACTTAGCCCCAAAGAAAAAGGATAAGGAGAAAGAAGGAGACCCTCCTAGGAAAGGTCTGATCCCAGGTCAGGAAACTCCTTTAGAGGGACCCATACTGTATTCAAAGAGCTCATTTACAAGTTGTTACATAAGATCAAGAAGTAGTTCTTTAAGTGGCCAACCAAGATGCAGAGCGAATCGTCCACTAGGAACTAGAATACAAGGTGTTCGTACCACAAAGATGTGCGGCACCTTACCAAATATTTCCGTGTGTACAAATCCTTCTTGAAAAAGTTGGTGCAAAAGGGATATCTCAAGGAGTACATTGAGGAGGAGGCGCCGAGGGAAGCACGCTCTGCCGATGACCAGGCCGCTATCCGCGGTAACATCATTGACGTCTGCCCCTTGCAAGGGCCAACAACCAATGAGCACAACTCTGCTGCAGAGGAGAGGTTGGTGGCTTTCTTCTACGGTGGATGTTGAGGATTTGATAGCTTTCAAGGTGAACTATAGATTTTCCAACTAGATTCCGACGAAGGTCTCTTGTCTCACTAAGTTGGCAAAAGTAGAGAAAAGGGGTCGGGGCTCTGTTTAAATAAGGCCCAACACCATGATTACACACGAGGAACGAGAAGGGGCACAATAAATGGGACACGATCCCCAAGGAAAGGAAAACGGCTACGTAAGGAGGCAGGAGTCAAGCCCTTTCATCTTCTCACGCCACGTCACCCACGCAGTACAAAGATCAATTGATAGGACACTTCTGAGAGTCAACAGCGAGTCGACACATGTCCTCGGCATAAGTAACCCTCGGATCTTACTGAGAACGACACATATCCTCAGCACGAAAAACGTGGGAGCCCCATGGATTAACACGTGTCCTAGGCGTGAGGTCCCTCGGAGCCCCTGCAAGCAACACGTGTCTTTGGCACCAAAGGCATCTTGGGAGCCCCTACGAGTGACAAGTGTCCTCAGCGTCAATGCACCCCAGAGTTAAAGTCTTCATCACGTAACACTTGTCCTCGGCTCCCAAAGTTCCCTGAGGACACCTCCACTCGACACGTGTCCTCGGCGTCAGGTCCTCCACTCCGCAGAGGTGTTGGCGACCACCTTGGGACTTAGGCTATGACAAATGGTTGAGTTCTTAGAGAAGTCAAAAATAACATCATTACATCAGAGGTAGAGGTGGTTGTTAATCATCAAACTCTCTTCCCAAGGCAGTAAGAATGACAAGGTAGGCAACTTGGTAACCAATAAAGGTGTTCACCCTATCCTACTAGTAGGAAATGTGCTCTTCCGTCTTCCAACTCGATACTTTGCGGAAAATTTTTTTTTGACCTACCCTACCCGACAGGTGTGGTATTCCTACTCGACTTCCTATCCGATTAATCGAGTAGGAAGTCGGGTAGGAAATTGGGTAAACATTTTTGTAACAATTAATTTTTGGATCATTGTAATAATTTAATTAAATAACATGCACCAATTTAATAACACAATAAATCAATTAACACTAAAATCAAAAACAACTACAACAAGAATTATAATAAAACACAAGAAAATATGAACATCAATCCACCATAATTGTTACACAAATACAATAACAATTAATTTAAGTTTAAACTTTAAACCATAGAAAATACATTAAAATCATAATTGCTCCGCCTGTGGTTAGGGTTTAGAGTTTTTTTAGTTTATATATATTAAAAAATTATTACGGGTAGCGTAAGGTAGGAATGCGGAAATGGATGGCTATTCCGCATTCCTATCCGAAAATTGTAGGAAGACCAAAAACTCTTCCGCATTTCTACCTAATTTTTGCGATTAGCTGTTCAGTAGGGTAGGGTAGGCTCGGGTTGGGTAGGGTAGGAACTTACGACTGGTCGAAAATTTGAACACCCCTAGTAACCAATAGAGAGAGTCCACAAAATACGAAACTCATATGACATGACCTAGAGGGACAAAGGACGCAAATGTCCCAGCGCATGCGGAACCACAATGAAGGACATTAAATGATCCCTCATAAGGATGAGACATATTTATTACTCGAAGAGTCTCGAAGAAAAAGAGTATTAAGTGCTCAAGAATCCGAGCATTCAATGCATAAACTTCTTCTACGCAAAATAGGAGACACTCTGCTCAAAGACTGAGCCCCACCTTCTGCCTTCCAAATGGGTCAATTAGGGACTGCCTCCCCAAGGGACCCACCTATCAGTAATGATTACCTCCATGGAGTCATAAATAACTCTCATAAACACAAAACGAGGGTACACACATTCCCACTCAAGCAATAGAACAGTGTTTCTTACCCCTCTCTCCCATACTGACTTGATCGTCGGAGGGGGTCACACCGAAAAACACTCTGACTTGATCGCTAGAGTGTTTCTTACCCCTCTCTCCCATTCTAAAAAATAGCAGGGAGTACTTATAATACTCAAAAGTTAGTATAATAAAGCAAAGATAAAATTACACTTCAATCCCCCTCAATTATGCCAACAGTCACACATTACCTCCTCAATTATATATCATGTTTCGCACAATGCATCTCCCCATAGGATTATTTTTTCACATTGGTCCAAATTGCAATAATCCCTTGTAAATTTAATGGAAAGTTGTGTTATTTTGCCCCTAAACTATGTGATTTTGTCTCAAAATCGAATGAAAAATGTTATGCTTCATCCAAGACATAACGGATATTTGGTTTTAGAATAATATAAAATTAATTCAAATAATTGAAAGGATAATGTAAGAAATTTTATGGTAAAGGGATGAAATAAAATCAAAATCTTTAAATACTTTTAGTCCCTAAAGTATGCATATTTTATCAGTTTGGTCTTGTATCAATTTTGTCAATTTGATTCCTAAAATATTCAATTCGATTAATTGTTGGGGTTACACAAACTTTCAAATCATTGAACTAATTACCCAAATAATTTATTTCCTACTCTTCCATCTCTAAAATTCACAGCCTAAAAACCCTGAATCGCCCAATTTTGGATTCAATCTCAAGTAATTTCCAAAATTTCCTAACTTATTTGATCAATTTCAAACCCTTTTCTACAATTCCAACTTTTAAATTTCACACTCTAAAAACCCTGAAGTCAATTTCACATAATCAAAATAAATAACAAGATTAAGAATGCAAATGTACTTGGCAACACCAGACTTCGTGTGAGAGAAGGTATCGGGTGCGGCGATCTTCTTCTTCGCACGGTGGACTTCGATGTGTTGTTCGTGACCAGATAGGGGTTCTTTGGAGAGACGCTTGGATTCTTCCCAGGATTGGTAGAGTTGGGCCTTGAGTTCAAGAATGGAGGACGAACCTACGCCAGAGATTGCCCCGTGCTTTCTCGGCATGATCAACGATTCTGTTAGCCCTTCTAGTGACTCCTCCACCACCCTCCTCTTCTTCCCTTGTCCCTCTTCCCCCATAGCTTCTCTCTAAATTCCTCTCGCTATCTATATATATAAACGTATGAATATGCAACACAGGTGTTCTTTTTCTTCTGGTCTCGGTCTCCAAGAGTCCAAGAGGGCTGATTGGTGCTCTACTCCATTTTCTCCTCTCGAATCTAAGTGGTCGTTTGGTAACGTTTTTGTTTTTGCATTTTCAAAAAAATTAAAAACAGAGACAATTTTTGTTTTGTTTTGTGGTAAACGCCGAAAACATAAAATATGTTTGGGAGTCATTTGTATTTTTCAAATTATGAGAATAAAACTAAAAACATGTTTGGTAACCACATCAAATTATATCCTAAAACAAAAGTTCTAATCAACATTTATGTCATTCCATAACATGTAACCATTCACTAATGCAGCAGTTCTATATACACTCAACAATTGGGAGTAACATATACACTCATGAAATTCTCTAAACATATATTACACTCATGAATTTCAACATATGCACTTATGAATTTCAACTTATCCACAATATATTCAACATATCCACAAATTCACCCACAATATACCAACACACACACATACTCTGCTGACTTAACACACACACAGACTTTGCTGACTTAACACACACACACTCAGCACATACACGGAACACACACAGAGACGGGGACATAAGAGAATTTGTTTAGGGGAAATCGAGTCACGATCAACACCCACATCCAGAAATCACGCCGCCCAAACCCAGAAATCAACACCCACACAGATCTAACTCAAACCTGAAAGTGAGGCGGCGACGAAGAGGGGCAGCGATGGAGAGAGGCAGCGATGAAATCGAGTGACAAAGCTGTGAGGAGGACGATCGAACAAAGCTGTGAGTGACGATAGCCGGAGAGTAGACGATGGAGAGTGAGAGGATGGGATTAAATATGAGATAGATCGAATTTGGTTTGTGTATCTTTTATACTTCCTAGTAATGCACACACGTAAAAAAATTTAGATCATTAATTTTTTATTAAATTTATTACAAATACAAAGTTAATTTTAAAAGTAAGTTAAAAATTAAAATACCAAGAAAAAGGCACTTAACCTTTTAATTTTTTAATTGTATTTGTTAATTAGTTAACTTCCAATTAAATAATCGTATATGTAGTTTTTTAATCAATTTATTTTACATTATTATAATTCTTCAGACACAATAAAATTTTTATATTGTATTAAGATTTTATGTGTATTAAATCGTATCTCAATTGATCGAACTAATTTTTAATTATAATTAAGTTCTAATATGATTAGTATATTGATAATTATTTTTATTTTATTCGAAGAATTATAAGTGGAATCCTAATTTAATAAATTTCATAAAATTTAATTTTTCAAACATTAGTAAAAAAATCATTCGCAATCATGAAATTCTAAAAGAATAAAACTTTAACCTTTTTTTAAAAAAAAAAAACTTTTTTTTATAGTTAAAATAAGGAATTTTGGGAACATACAAAGTTTTCGTAATCCTATAATAGAACGTGAGTAATGAAAAATTAATTTTGATAAATTTAAAATGATATTTCAATTAGTTACGTATATGCTTAATATATTTTATTAATTTATGTATACAAAAATTATCCACAAGTATTATTATTACGTTAAATTTGAATAAAAATGAGATTAAAATTGCATCTTTTAATACTTTTTGATCCATCATGCAGCTATACTTTCCTACATCTTTTAATCTTTTAAAATTGCATCTTTTATTAATATTCTTTAATATCTCAATTTATAAAAATATAACAACAATCAAGATTGATTTATTTTATATCTATTTTAATACAATGATACAAAATTAATTCCATATTCCCCCCCCCCCAAAAAGCCATCATCTCTGTATGGCTCTCGATATTAGACAACGTCACTGACCCTACCTATGGCTTCCTTTTTTTTTTTTTGTTCTATACCTCTTTCTTATTTTTCATTTGATCTCTATACTTTTAAAATATGTAATTTTAAAAAAATAAAATAAATTATTAGTTAAAATAAAAATATTTCACCCTTAATACCCAATTTTTAATATTACAACCAACATAGAAAATTTTAGCATAAACATAGAAATTAATAAACTAACATCAATAATGCTGGATATTTGACATGTCACACCAATCTAATAAACTGCAACATAAGAATTAATAAAATAATCTCAATTATGCCGAATACTCGACGTAGCACACCAATCTCATAGAAAATTGTTTGACATTAAATTAAAAAAAATTAACTGTCACATAAAATTTAAAAGTAAACATAGGAATTAATAAATTAACCTCAATTATGTCGAATACTCGACCTGCCACACTAATCTCTTAAAAAACTATTTCACACTAAATTAAGGAAAATTAAGTGCCACACGAATGTCAATATTCATTGAATGTCAATATTCATTAAAGCTTAAAGATAGATACAAAGGGAGAGGGTGAGAGTTAAACTTTCAATATCATTTATCGAAAGAAAGAGAGGGGGGGGGGGGGGGAAAAAGGGAGTGATGACTACTATAACAGTAAAAAAAAACAGTTTTCAATTAGTTGATTAGTTTTGTAATTCTTTTATTAGTAGAATTCTAGAATTCTTTTAGTGGCAGTAGCTTAGTCAAAATAGCACTCAATGTTAAAAACTGATTTTCTATTACAAGTAGGATTGTTATATACTTTATTTTGATGGTCTCGTCTAGCGGCTACATGCATTCTGTCATGTGTAATTGACTTTATCAAAGACATAAAAATATCTGAATATAATTGACTTTATAATAATAATTAAGAGTAAAATGAGAAATCAAAATTTTTTTTGGAAGTCAAATATGGTATGACAGACAAAAATATCTGAGTATAATTGACTTTATAGTAATAAATAAGAGTAAAATAGAAAATCAAAATTTTTTGATAGATGCTGACATTTATAAATAGTATAGATATAGAGAATAGGAATAGACGTTCTATTAGAAATTATATAAAACCCCTGAATTTCGTATGTTAACAACAGCTCCTAACTAATTACACAAAATACCCCAAAATATTAGAACAATAACGTTTGTTTTATGTCCAGAAGACTAATAAAGTAAAAACCGCACACCAATTCCAAAAGGGTCAATCCTTTTAATGAGTGAATGAGAATTTATCAACCAATTGAAACACTTCTCATTGCAACCATGACTAATTCTCTAGCTAGAAAATTAGCAAAACAATTCCATGTGGTTTCATCACTTACATCACAAGACCTTGCACTTAGAAAAGCATATTTTATGGCCAGAACTATCAATCTTGTTGGTGCCACTATTGAAAGATATTGTGCTGAACTAAAGCTCCAAAGAGGGCTCCCCCCCCCCCCCCCCAAAAAAAAAAAAAAAAAACACACACACACACAAATGCATGCACGGGGACTGGGGCAGCAAGGGATATCTGTAGTTGTAGTAGACATTACAACCTGTGTTGTTTCTTTCAATTTGTCTTTCAGTTGCAGTCCTATGCTCGATAATAATAAGGCAGCTCATCAAGGGACAGTGGTGAAATGCTGTGAGAATTTGATTCACTGTCAACCTAAAGTGCTACAGAGATTACCTGTAAAAATCCTATTTAGGGTATCTAATATAGAAGACTCATGATATTGCCTGTATGAGGAGGATAGTCGTATTCTGTATTATCACTCCATGCAGAAAAACCCTTTCGACTATCAAATTATAGATACGAACTGGAACAAAAAAGAACCAGTTTCTAAGAAAATACAAGTTCCTCATTTCTAAAAGCCCCAAATCTTAAAAGTTCTGAAGGACCAACATTCAACTTCATGAATCCATTTTATTGCTAAAAGCAAGCCAACAAAAGCAACCACAGATTGGGGAGTGCTGAAATTTTGAGAAAACTTTAATAAGATACAAAAGGCGTTATTCACTGAAACAATTGGAAAATAGATCAGTGGCGCTTCTTTCTTGTTACCACTTCCCAAGCTTGTAAAACGTGGTTTACTATTTCCTCAACGCGGACGCCATGCTTCACTTGCATCCATGTACTTTCCATTTATCAATCACAGGGCAAAAGTTTGACATTCTATATAAAAAAAACTATTGGACCAGGCGGAATGAAACTGCCACTTGGTCAGCCGAATAACATATGTAGTAGTTGAAACCCACTGAGAGGGTTTTAGGTGAGCCATGTAATGGCCATTTCTCTCCAATGCAATTCAATAAATCAAGTAGGTACATTTACCATTATAGTTGTTATTTTTCCCTTCATTGTATTACGCATGCTTAATAGTTACACATACCTCAGAACTAGTGGAGCTACTTTGTCACCATACTAGTAAAATTTTAGGTGTACTATTTTGCTGCAGAATGATAGACTGCGCTTTTCTGTCGTTCACATAATAAATTTCATTAAACCAGTAATAGAAGCATCATTTGAAAATAGGTATCTATACCATGCACGTATCACACTAATGCTACAGAATATGGAGAAACGACATATTCCACTAATCTGAGCAAAAACAAAATGGACCATCATCCCGCATCCGAAGTGTATCACGCTCCCATGACTGCCAAATCAGCTCTAACAGCCAGTGTGCAATCTCAATAACATCAAACCTTTCCACAATTTCTTTTGAGAAAACATCAATGGTTTAAATGGTGTTTAAAGCCCCAAACATCAGGTAGTAGATGAATAAGACACATACAAGGAGGTCGGTTTGTGTGATCCCTGGGCCTCCTTTTCGAGGGATCTTATCACCACCGGATACATCTATATTATAAATTATATAGTCAGCCAGTTCCCTGCTGAAGTTGGCAGCTAGATTGTCTGCATTCACATAAATTAAGCATATTAAAACATGTTTCAATCGACAACTAAATCCATTATATACGAAAATAAATAAAGTTCTGTCTCATCTAATGATTTCAAAGCTCAATTCTATCCATGAGTAGTTATAAATCACAAATAATTCCAGAATTGTTTCCACACAACTTTCAAATCAACAAGAAATGCAAATTTATTGCCACAACTTTTGATCACCAAGAGCTTTCAATTTCCTTGTAATAACTTTTCACCTAATGCCCAACAGTCACATAAATCCAGGTGCACAGAGCTTGATTAAATGAAGCTTATATATTATTTTAAATTTCATGGTGCTCACTAACATAATAATATTTACAGCTAAGCAAAGTACACTGTGGTGTCAAATTACCTTCCCCAGATTCACAGAGAAGTATATTAGTTTTGTAAAAGTTTGAAAGCTCCTCAAGAGGCCCAAGATTGATGCTGATGTCTTCTCAAATAGCAGCATGTGGGCAGCCTCCCGTTTCCAAAACACGTATCCTTTCCTCAGGAAGTGCTCCAAGCTTCACCAAGAACTTGTCATCATCTTTTGTGAATATATCATTAGTCATCGACAATGTTATCCACCTTAAGTTATTTTTCACTAAGAATCTCCTTACAAAAAATCTAAACAGGTTAATACTTGCACCATGATTTACAACAAAAAAAATCGAGGTATAAGCTTAAGCATAAGGAAACCGTTGCCAGTACTAAACAATCGGGCAAACTTCACTTTATCCCTTTGTGGTTAAGTGGTTAAGTCATTTTGCAGATCACCTCTCTCATAGTAAAAATAGTTACATCACCCTCGCATGGTTTGTGGACCAAAACACAATACTACTACCGTTGACGAAAATGTTGAAATCACCTTTGAGCCTTTCCTCCTCTCTTTCTTCAACAACAAACCCTTCTTTTCCGGTGGCCCAAAAACATCTCAATTCAACAAATTTTCAATTTTCAATCTCCAAAGCTTCAAAATTAAAATGAAAAAAAAAAAGAGATGAGAACCAAAATTAAATTCAGTGGGTTGTCAATAACAACTAATTATTGTTCGACGATTACTGATGGGTCGCCGATGGTGATGAACTATTGCTCAATGAAGATGACAATTAATGGTGGTCGCCGTTGCAAAGTAAAGGAATGACAGTGATTTGGATAGGTAGAAAACGCAGATTATGTTAGGGTTGACTTGTGATGGTGGCCATGAACAGTTGTGGGTGGTGGTCAATCTCCTTGGATTCGTCACCAACAACCCCTTTGACGTTCTCTATCACTCTTACACTCTCTCCCCCTCTCTCTCTCACCAATCAGTTGTTGTGTAATTATGGTTCAATGACAATAGGTTCAAGAGGGTTTAATTGATTAAAGATACAGGAAGAAGGTGGAGTAGCTTTAGATGGGTTGGTGTCTATTACTATTTGAACTACATTCCCTTTGTCAAGACCAACAATGACAAAGTAGAGGAGTTTGTGTCTATGATGAAGAGATATGCTACTTAATATTTGTGCTTCTTTGATCTGTCGGTCTGTTTTGTCTTCTATAATGCACGTTGGAGTATTACAGACCTTCCATGGTGATATACAGTAAATGTGGTGTTTATCATTGGTTCAAAGAAGATAATGGCGTTTCTATAATTTCAACATTTAGAAATTATGCATTGTACACACCTCTAGTTAAGTTGGACAAAATCTTTGACAGTGCACTTTAGTCCATAAATCAAATGAGGGTTATGTGGACATTTTTAAATGCTAAGGAGGTTATGTGAATTCGGGGTATACCACTAGGGGTAAAGTAAAGTTTTCCTAAAGGTAAGAACCATATTCATTAGAGAAAAGGAGTGTCGGACATGTACCTTTTAAAATGAAAGGGAACTTGTGTTGGGGGATATTTGGTATAGAAAATTCCTAAGTGGATAGTAAAATTCCAGGAAAAATGAACCCATAAGTCGAGTTGCAAGATCCATTAAAATTCCACCAATTTCGTTATATTTTGAGAAGTGAAAAAGGTCAAAAAAGGAGCTCATTGACCACCCACCACGATATTGCCAATTTGAGATTTTCCTTAGTATGGTACTTTAATTAGGACCTTAGAGAAATGCCTACTATTATTCAAAAAGCGCACGTGATTATCTCTTTGTAGCAGAGAACGCCAACTTATTCTCCTCACTTTCCTTTTGCAGGCACCTAGGAAAGTGAAGCGGACATCCTTACCACGTTAGATGACCCTATATTTGTTGTTATAAATTTAATCTCAAACAAAGGACTTCACTAATGTTCTATATGGGTCTAGATGGTCACCCCAATAAACATTTTAACACAGTGATACAACATGAATGGGAAAAAGGTTGAATATTTCTAAGGCCTGTTGGATAACTATTGCCAATGCTATGCTGAGTTTTCCTAAGTGTGTTGAGTAAACCTCTAAGTTATCAAAGACGAGAATATTTGATGCAATAAAAGTACATTTGATTCTTAACACATGATAAAATAGCATAGAAGGACAATGCACCTTGGTGAGGCCTCCATGCCGCCAGCTATTTTTCAAAATTTACTTTTGAATATCTAATAATAAGTTCTAAAAAATATGACATTTATAATTGCATAAAATGAAGAGTGTGTATCTTAGGCAATTACAAACAAGATACCAATGAAAAATCATTTTTTAGGTAGAGGTCAAAGGATTCTTTCTAAATAAATGCACTTGCATTAGAATGCCACTCTATCACCAAATCCCTACTGATTGAGAAAATTGGGATCAAGCTTCATGACTGCCTAATCCGGTCCAATAGCCAGTGCAAGGTCAGTCTTGTTTATTACCTAGAATTAAGTGCAATCTCAATACCATCAGACCTTTCCACAATTTCTTTTGAGAAAACATCAATGGTTTAAATGGTGTTTAAAGCCCCAAACATCAGGTAGTAGATGAATTAGACACATACAAGGAGGTCGGTTTGTGTGATCCCTGGGCCTCCTTTTCGAGGGATCTTATCACCACCGGATACATCTACATTATAAATTATATAGTCAGCCAGTTCCCTGCTGAAGTTGGCAGCTAGATTGTCTGCATTCACATAAATTAAGCATATTAAAACATGTTTCAATCGACAACTAAATCCATTATATACGAAAATAAATAAAGTTCTGTCTCATCTAATGATTTCAAAGCTCAATTCTATCCATGAGTAGTTATAAATCACAAATAATTCCAGAATTGTTTCAACACAACTTTCAAATCAACAAGAAATGCAAATTTATTGCCACAACTTTTGATCACCAAGAGCTTTCAATTTCCTTGTAATAACTTTTCACCTAATGCCCAAAAGTCACATAAATCTAGGTGCACAGAACCTGATTAAATGAAGCTTATATATTATTTTAAATTTCATGGTGCTCACTAACATAATAATATTTAGAGATAAGCAAAGTACACTGTGGTGTCAAATTACCTTCCCCAGATTTACAGAGAAGTATATCAACTTTGTACAAGTTTGAAAGCTCCTCAAGAGACCTAAGATTGATGTTGATGTCTTCTCGAATAGCAGCATGTGGGAAACCTCCCATTTCCACAACACGTATCCTTTCCTCAGGAACTACTCCATGCTTCACCAAGAACTCGTCGTCCTCTTTTGTGAACATATCACTAGTCACTAACAATGTCATCCATCTTAAGTTATTTTTTACTAAGAATCTCCATACAAAAAATCTAAACATGAGACATATTAGAGGTCTATACTTGCACCAAGATGTACAACAAAAAAATCAAGATCTAAGCTTAAGCATAAAGAAACTGTTGTCAGTAATAAAAAAATAGGGCAAACTTCACTTTATCCCTTTGTGGATCACCTCCCTCATATTTAAAACTAGTCACATAACCCTCGTATGGTTTGTGGCCTAAGACGAAATGCTAATATCGTTGACAGAAATGTTGAAATCACCTTTGAGCCATTCCTCCCTCTCTTTCTTCAACATCAAACCCTTACTCTTCGGCAGCCCAAAAACATCTCAATTCACCAAATTTTGAATTTTCAATTTCCAAAGCTTCAAAATTAAAATGAAAAAAAAAGAGATGAGAACCAAAATTATACTCAGTGGGTTGTCAATATCAACAAACTATTGTTCGACGATTGTTGGTGGGTCAACAATGATGGTGAACTATTGCTCAACAAAGATAACAATTGCAGGTGGTCACCATTGCAAAGTAAAGGAATGACACTAATTTGGATAGGTAGAAAATGCAGGTATGCTGGGGTTGACTCGGTTGTGGGTGGTGGTCAATCTACTTGGATTCGCCGCCGATAACCCCTTTGATGTTCTTTCTCAATCTTACACTCTCTTTCCCCCCTCTCTCACTCTCAGCAATTAGATGTTGTGTAATGGTGGTTCAACAAAAATAGGTTCAAGGGGGATTAATTGATTAAAGATACAGGGAGAAGGTGGAGTAACTTTAGGTTGTTTTGTGTCTATGACTATTTGGACCACATTCCCTCTGTCGAGACCAACAATAATGTAGAGGAGTTTGTGTCGATGGTGAAGAGACAAGCTACTTAATATTTGTGCTTCTTTGATCCACCGATCTATTTTGTCTTTCTGTAATGCATGTTGGAGTATTACAGACCTTCCATGGTGATATACAGTAAAGGTGGTGTTCATCATTGGTTCAAAGAAGAAGATAATGGTGTTTTTATTATTTCAAAATTTTAAAAGGTTATTTTTATCTTTGAAATTTTTTGATACAAATCAACATTTGGATATTGCACATTGTACATACCTCCAATTAAGTTGGACATAATCTTCGGCAGTGCACTTTAGTCCATAAATCAAATGAGGGTTATGGGCACATTTTTAAATGGTAGGGAAGTTATGTGCATGTGAGGTATACCACAAGGGATAAAGTGAAGTTTTCCTAAATGTAAGAACCATATTCATTAGAGAAGAGGAGTGTCGGACATGTACATTTTTAAATGTAAGGGGACTTGTGTTGGGGGATATTCGGGATAGAAAATTCCTAAGTGGATAGTAAAATTCCAGGAAAAATGAACCCATAAGTCAAGTTGCAAGATCCATTTAAAATTCCACCAAGTCCGTTATATTTTGAGAAGTGAAAACAGTCAAAAAGGAGCTCATTGACCACCCACCATGATATTGTCAATTCGAGATTTTCCTTAGTATGGCACTTTAATTAGGACCTTAGGTAAATGCCTACTATTATTCAGAAAGAGCATGTGATTATCTCTTTGTAGCAGAGAACACCAACTTATTTTCCTCACTTTCCTTCTGCAAGCACCTAGGAAAGTGAAGTTGACATCCTTACCACGTCAGATGACCCTATATTTGTTGTTATAAATTCAATGTCAAACAAAGGACTTTACTAATGTTCTATATGGGTTTGGATGGTCACCCCAATAAACATTTTAACACAGTGATACAACATCAATGGGAAAAAGGTTGAATATTTCTAAGGCCTGTTGGAAAACTATTGCAAATGCTAAGCTGAGTTTTCTTAAGTGTGTTGAGTAAACCTCTAAGCTATCAAAGACATGAATATTTGGTGTAATAAAAGTACATTTGATTCTTAACACGTGATAAAATAGCATAGATGGACAATGCACCTTGGTGAAGCCTCCATGTCGCTAGCTATTTTCCAAAATTTACTTTTGAATATCTAATAATAAGTTCTAAAAAATATGACATTTATAATTGCATAAAATGAAGAGTATGTATCTTAGGTAATTACAAACAAAATACCAACGAAAAGTCATTTTTTAGGTAGAGGTCAAAGGATTCTTTTTAAATAAATGCACTTGCACCAGAATGCCACTCTATCACCAAATCCCTGTTGGTTGAGAAAATTGGGATCAAGATCCATTCTAAGATTTTTCTGGAATTGCTCTCAGAACTTTCCTAACATGAGAGGATTTCAAAGTTCAGAGTTTCACAATTGATAAGGCATAAAGAATTTCTATGTTAGATGATGATATCATCTTTGCATAAAAAATTCAAGGATATGATTCAAAAGAAGTTGTTTGTATGCATGACGTATCATAGATCATTGTGTTTCCTGAGAAATCAGGTTTTGTAACTTGAGTTAGTTTAAATTTAGCAATTTGGCTCTTGCCAAGATGGGAAGCAGGAAACATTTCACTTAGCCCAGTTCCTATAAAGAGTCTATGGGAAAGCCTAATGACCAGTTTTGGATCTTTTCCCTACACCGGTCTACCAGAATGTGCATTATAAACCAAGCAAAGCCTATTTGAAAAGGCTTCAAAGCAAAGAAAGAAGAAATGTCAAGAATCAATTCAGTAAAAAAATATTATTCTATGGGCCCTTACCTTCCCCGGAAGTCCCTACTCTAAGATAGATAAAAAGTATATCGCGTAGTGCATACTTTCCAAAGTAATATTGCAAACAATTCTAGTATCCACCCAAGAAATGTATGCAGGATTGCATCTTTCACTGTATTTGTTCACAGTGCTTTATCCACCGGCATAAAGTGGCGATAATATGCTCTAACATGGAGAGTGATGTTGCCTATGCCACCCATGTCCAAAGGAAAAAAAGAAGATAGTTTATTGGCAATCCAAAATGCCACTTTCCTTCCTTGGAAAATTGATTATAAACACGAGCACATGTATGACCACTCAAAAGGTAGCATGCGATTTATCTAAAGTGTTAGGATGTTATTAACTATTTGTCGCAACCCAAAGACTGATTGTAGGGAAACTATAGTTTTTAATACTCCATTTACAAAGGTCTTCAACATATTAGGACTGGCAGTAGACGTAAGGTGTTTGTATGTAGTAAAGTTGGCTGAACTTCTTTTGGCTCCGATCAACATTTACACGAAAAATAGGAGAGCCGACATATTAAACAAAATTCCAAAAATATATATATAATTTCATATGTAAACATAAAAATGGGTCATTGCTTAGCCATTGTAAAATGTTCAGGCTAACAACTGCAAGGCTGTGGAGTTGAATTTGAAGACTTTGCTAAACTGTTCAGTTACATTCTATTCCTACCTCAGGATATCCTTGAGAAAATCATAAGCATAAGTTTTTTCCTTCCCTTTTTCCTTTTCTTTATCTCTATCTATTTTCAGATTGTCTTGCTGAAAACATTTGTCAGAGCGAGTCATTTTCCCAATCTCACCACAATCTTCCCTTTCTCTCTTCTTTGTATCTGTTTTATTAATTCCAAGGGACTCTATCAAAATTGTAGACGGGAGGTTAGCCCCGAGAAAAAGGACTTTCCCCTGAAGCAACTTGCTACTGTAGGGTTAGCTCAAGCTATAAAAACCAATAAAAAAATGAGATTTAACCAGCTGGCTGTTGAAGCTAAGATGACTGCTATCAATGAGCAGAGGAGAGAGCAAGCGCTGCTCACGTTACTGTGCAAGTTTACAATTTGAAAATAAATCAAGAAATTGCTCAATGTTCAGATATTATCAGAAGCTATCTAGTGTTTGGCAGCATAGAAACAATGTCTAAGATATGGGATAGACATTAATATCAGTTCAATTAGTAAGCTCCCAATTACTACTTTAACACAATAACTCCATGTCCTCTAATTCATTAATGCATTCAAAATGATTCTGGCATATAATACATGCAGTAAAAAAGTCTGAATATACTTTGTAGATCATACATACCGCAACAAGACTGTACTTGTCCCGTAAGAATTTACACAAAGCAAGCATTAAAGTTGTTTTCGTGTGTGGTAAGAAGCAACATTTCATTAATTAAGCAGAAGTCTATTGCAATCAAGTCTATTTCGTTAACCAGTCGCACTAACAAATAGTCATTCAAGATAACTAACAAACAAAGATATGATTTAGAATATCCACTAAAAGAAAAATTGAAAAACCCCAAAAGCACTCACACAACATATGAAGATATATTGCAGGATATAATTGCGATAACAAAATAAAGTAAAAATTGGGGGAAAATCAGAAATACCCAGTACCAACAGGGCCACCAATACCAATTGTGAATGCTCTTTCGATGTAAATCTTGGTGATAAGTGGAGGTGCTCTTCTGCTAAAGTAGCCAGGTGAGTATATGGGTATGTGAATGTGGTGCCAATCCATAATGGCTATGGTACACTCTCCCATCTGGTCCCACCCATGATTCCGGTGTTGAATCCCCTTTAGATTCACTGTTGCATTAGAAACATCCAATGAGAAAACCTATCAGATTTAGTTCTAAAAAAGAGAAAAAAAATTGATTCAAATGAAAAGAACAAGGAATATCACTCATGGCCATGGGGATGATGATGACGGTGGTGATGCTAGTGATCATGGTCATGATGGTGCTGTTGGACATGAGGATCTTGCGAAGCCACAGACTCTAATCTGTAAGAAACATTTGAGAAAGAAATTGTCTACCAAATTAACCAAAAAAATCTTCACAAAAACTTAATTGAAAATAGGGTAAAAAATATTTTTAGTCCCTAAATATGAGTGTAGTATTTATTTAGTTCTCAATCTTTCAACTGTGTTTATTTGGTCCCTGAGATTTTTAATTTGTGTCTATGGTTCAATCTCAAATGTTCATCCAAAAATTGTTAAGTCCTCGTGTTGCGCACCAATCACATGTGAACAAAGAAACATAAAATTAAAAATTACGCGAATAACGCTTGACTAAAACCGTCATGATTTTTTA